AGTAAGTAAGTAATAGTTAAGTTAAACGTTAAGTTAAAGTTAAGTATAGTACGTAGTAACGTAACTAACGTACGAGACGACGACGACGACACACACACACACACACACACATATATATATATATATATATATATATATATATATATATATATATATATATATATATATATATATATATGCAAATGCTTACAAATGGGAGATATTGAAAAACTCTCATAGACACGTCCACATTCAGCGCGCGTCAACCCGATATACCTCCTCTTCCATGAGAACTGTCATCAGAAAAAAATATTACATACTGGTAATCAAGGAACATTGTATAGCACAAACATACACCATCACGTTGCAGCACACCAGGTATGGCTCAGAGGATGAAAGAAACGTACAAATTCGACTTGCATAGTGACTAAAAATGATTGAAAATTCTGACTTCGCAATCCCTCCGCAAGCCTTGTACCAGGAACTCATGTTTCAAAATTTCACGTTCAATATAGCTAGTATATGTACACTATAGCTAGTATATGTACACTATAGCTAACATACATACACTATAGCTCGTATGTTTACCTTATGCAGCCCTGTGGTAGACACATTGTTGTGTAAAATGTGACAGACTGGCGCTACGTTGTGTGCCGCGAGTCGCACTGCACCAGAACGAGGCAAAGCCACTCCGGCCGCACGAATAGCAGATCGTGCAAACATGACGAGACAACTATGATGTAAGACTCCTGAGCTCGTATAGATCAATTTTTTTTACGTACACTACATATATATATATACTGAAATTAAAAAGGGTCGTCTAATTTACAGTAAAAGACTCATATGCAACATTCAGAACTTGACATATGTTGGACACAAGACGAGGGGATGTTGTCAGTCAGTCGGCAGAAAAGGTGTGACACATATGCAACCGGACGGACAGAGTAAAGTCCACCGTCCAGACCTTTTCTTTTTATAACAATTGTGACGTCATCAAGTGGCTTTATCTTTTCCTGCGTCATCGATATTACTCCATATTTGGTAATTTCACTAATTTTAAAATAATATGGAAGTATGCATTTATTGCATTTTATGCACTTATGTATTATAGTGGTCATGACTCAGGAATGTAAAAATTGTTTCTCTATGATATGACCTGTGTGGTTCTATACACTTCTGATGATTTTGTTGCAACCCACTGTTAGCCGGGCGCTATTGCAACGCTACTACATAGGCAGAAACAACTGTACGGGTATTAATACTGTGCAACATGGGGAAACGAAGGGTTAGCGACCTGGGCAGAAGTATGCGCAACCTAGCGCTGGTAAGTTCCGAGTTGTGTAAGAATTTATCCCATAGATTATAATTAAACCTATTTGCAAACATCTGCTTAGGGTGAAAGAGAACATCAGGCAGAGATGTACTTATATACTTACAACGATAAATAACGCGTGGCTGTATACTAATTTATATTGTACCTTAAACTCTCGCTTCCCAGAAAAATCCCTACCACGATACGCAAATCCATGCGTGCATGTATTTTAAGGACCCTGTCAGCTTAGAAACAATTGTGAAGACGGCCAGAGAAAAATTCTGCACTGAGGTATGTATAAGTGGCTCAAGTACGTCACTATCTCATCTGGTCACATCATGGTGTTCTATAAACTTTCAATCCGACCACGACAGAATTTGTAGGAAGAAGTACATGTTGCTTTATATATATATATATATATATATATTACATACATACATACG